TCTCTCACTCTCTCTCTCTCTCTCTCTCACTCACTCACTCACTCACTCTCTCACTTTCTTTCTCACTTTGAGATGTGCCCTCCCTTTCCGATAGCAACTTAACCGTTAAAGTGATGGCAAAGTTTTATCCACTAATTTCTCTCATACTCTCATTTGCCCCCCATTTGTGAAAGTTTATCGACTGTTCAAATCATTTGTTATATACATGTTTAATCATAAAAATATTTTCTATTTATTATATTATATTATATATTATTAATAACATAGAAATGATTTAGACGACTGTTAGAGAAAATCTTTTTGTATTTATATATAAATAAATATAGAGAAAAATAAAAGTGAATTCAAGAATTTTGATTCAATAAAAAACTGGAAAATATTTTTCATTTCATTCATTTTTATCAATGTTTTCATTAAATTTCATTTTATTAAATATTGAATTTGTCTTTAAAAACATTACATTTCGTACCAAACAAATAATAAATGCAAAATATTTAATCATTAAACAAGTCATAAGATGTCTAATAAAACATGAAAACCTATATTTTGAATAAATTGAGAAAATAGTTTTTCACATTTTTTGTTTATTGAATAAATTATTTAAAATAATCTCATACTAGAAATCAAATCTCATTCAACGCTATAACAAACACATATCTGTTGAATGTAAATCAAAACCCAATGTAATGAATAAAAATCTAGTTAATAATATTATTTTCAAATCCCCATTTTTGTGCCCCGAAATATTCATTATACCGAGTAATCTATATATTTGTATAATGAATGACATCTTATATATACGGAAACGAAATCTTATAATACAGAGAGAAAAATATATATAAATTACATTATACTCTATTAAACGTATGTTTGATTTTGCTTGCGATACGCTTTTAGCCATTCATTCAATTATCGATTTATATCTCGTAAAAGGATATAATATCTGCTTAGAAAATAAGGCACACAAAAAATAAAACCAATAAAATCAAAAATAAAAAGGTAAAACACATATACACAGCAAAAGTATGAGAGAGTGTGAGAAAGGAAAAAACTTTTGCGTCAAAACTAGTGGTCGTCAATGGATTTAGTATTGGATTTAATGACAACAACAACAACAAAAATCACTGCCAATAGTCAGGAGACAAGAAGTATAAGTGAATGCAAAGATTGAGTGAATTATTGAGTGTCCGTATCTATCGATATGAACGTCTCTCACACTCACCCTCTCTGCCGCACTCACTCACACTCTCTCTCATAGGAAACTAATGGGAAGTGTATTGAGCTCTGTCTGGATGGCGTCGGTGACGGGCCCACTGATGGCGTTGGCCAGCGATAGTTTGAATGCGTTTGACACCAAATTCATCACGATCTCCAGTATGAAGTCCCAACTGCCCAAACCGTTCACATCGATCCACAAATGTTTAATCTTCTCGATCCGAAACGAGCTGATCGTCGGCTTCGCGCCCTTCCGGAGCGACTGTTTGAGCCGTAGATAACACGATATGCCCGACAGTGTTAGCGATGAGTTGCCGGACGGACCGCCACCTGATTGGGCGAAGAGCAAGCATTTTATCTGATGTTTGCATATATAATGTATATATAGTGAGAAATATTTTATGCTAACACAGAATATTCTGTACGTGTATATAGTTTACAGAATACACTCAAACACTGGAAATAATTGACTTTTGCTTTTATAATTGGGGAAAACTTTTAGATCAGCAAAAAAATTAAGCACCAGAACATGATTTTCTCATTAATATACCTCTATTTGCAATCAATGGTAACATATCTGCCAGTTATGTGCAGTACATGTATTGAAGGAAAATATTCTGATCCCAAATGGGGTCAATAAGTCTGGGTTTAAGTGTATTCCGCAATAGATTTTTAATGTATTAATCAAATTATGAATTATATATGAAAGTGATATATAATTCAATAGTTGGTGAAAGGATGTTAGAAATGCCGAGAGAGAGAGAGAGCTAGAGATCTATAAACTACAAACCCATGAGATTAGTGTTCCAGTTGTAGCCACCGGTTAAGTTCGTGAAACCCATTCTGGCCTCAAATACCACTTCGTTATTACTATAAGTGGCGATAATATCTCCAGTTCTCACTAAACTCGACAATCCGGACAACTGGCCGTTAAACACCTTAATCTCTCCGTTAAGCCTAAACATCATTAGATTGTAATTGAATTTGTCGGTAAAGGCGGGCAATGGCATCGGCTCCAGACCGGACTCGTTGATGGCCAGTACGGCTCTGTCCAACACACTGTCGAAAACGCTGGCAGATTTGGTGTTGAGAAAATCCAACGGCAAGTGCTCTAACTGTGTGTTTATCATACGCTTAACGTCGGCCGACACCTCCTCCAGCATCCGGTGCTTAATCTGATTGAATATAAGACCGGACAGTGTGTTCATCACGGAATTGCTGAGCCCACCCATGAATCCGCCGCCCATCAGGTTCTCCATATCCATCTCGATGTTATCGGTGTAGACGTCGAGCTCCAGATCGTCCACTTGTATGCGTCCGTCTGCGGCCGCGGCCACCGATCCGTATGCGTTGATCTCAATGCCCGTCACATTCATGTAGAACTTGCCGTCGCCGTAGACGTTGAAGAATGTCACCTAAAATTGGTTATGGATTAAGATTATTAGTTATGGATTATCACTGTTACCATTGTTTGTGTGTTTTGTTGGGTTTCAATTTGAAACTATGTTATAAATTATAACTTATAATATAAATGAAACAAAACAACAAAATTGTTGCCATACTATAGCTATGGTTCTCTGGTATTTACTTAAGGCTAATAATAAAGAATTGCTTTTTCACTCAACTCTTCAAATAGCAATAGTTATAATATTTTTTTTGTTTCGGTATAGAGTTATAGAAATGTATATAAAAATCATAGAAATCGATTGGATTCTTATTTCTCTCTGCCGCACTCACTCACACTCTCTCTCATAGGAAACTAATGGGAAGTGTATTGAGCTCTGTCTGGATGGCGTCGG